TAGTGTTGCGATATAAAATAATCGCGTTTGTTTTAGTGTTGCGATATAAAATAATCGCGTTTGCTTTAGTGTTGCGATATAAAATAATGATCGCGTTTGTTTTAGTGTTGCGATTTTAAAAGTATCGTGTTTGTCTTTAAATATTTTAATTATTATATTTAATCTTAAATTGAAATTTGATCTTTCTTTTAATTTTCTAATATTGTTATTTATCATATTAATATATTTGAAATAATTTATCATTCAATACAATAAATTTGTATTAAAGTTTTTATGAATTAGTGTTGCGATATTGTTGAATCGCGATTGTTTATTAATGTTGCGTTGATGAATAATCGCGTTTTTTAAAAGTAGTGTTGCGTTAATAAATATTCGCGTTTTTTAATAGTGTTGCGTTGAAAAAATGCCCAAAGTTTTCCACTGGAATTGTGGAAATATGTTCCTGTTTCTGGACCATCTAATCACCTAACGCAGTTAAAAGAAGAGCTGCACAATGGTGGTTATATAATAGCAACCTCTAATATGGTTGCAATTCCGCTATTAGTGTTGCGTATAATGAAATGAGTGCATAAATTAATAATTAGTAATTAATATTGCATGCTTCGAGTATATTTTATTTTTTTTTTGTTTTTTTTTTTCGAATAAATTGAATTGCAAATATAATAAAGCACTCCTCGCAATTTCTTTTGAGAATTTAGTAAATTAGTGTTGCGAAACAAAAAACATATTCCACTCACGGTTTGTTCGGGTTTTCATTGAGTGGATGATTATTTTGATGGCTCTTCTAGCCATTTTTTCTTTTTTTTTTCTTTTTCAGCACCCCTTATTATTACCAGAGCATTTGTTTCAAAAATATTATTATAATATATAAATATATTAAATGATAGGTTTGTTTTTTTTATTGAAAATTATAAATTACTTAATAATGATTGGATTTTCTTTTAAATAATAATATGTTCTTTTCAGGTATAAATTGTTGTTTTTTAATAACTAATCCGTAATTGAGATTTTTACAGATATTTTTTGAAGAAAGAATTAGAAGAAAGAAGTATACGTATGTATTGTTACAAAATAAAATTTTTTTCTTGAATTTTACTAAATCCTATTTTAAAGTTTGTTTCAGGAACCAGTCAGCTATCAAAGAAAAGTGTATAAAATTTTTCATCCTTTATTAAATCTAAATTGCAATATAGTTTGTTTCAGGAACCAGTTAATTATGAAGAAGAAAGTGTATAAAATTCTTCATCCTTTATTAGTTTTAGATTGTAATATATATGGAATAGTAATTTTCCATGTGGAAAAAAAGATTCCTATTAGGTAGGATATTCAAAGAAATTATTTAATTTTTATTTAAATAGGGGCCCCTAAAAATAAAAAGAATATCTTTTATTATATTATTTGGATATTTATCTATCCATTAAATAAAAATTTAAGAAAATTTACGGAATAGGCAAATTAAGTTAGATTTGTATTTATATTTTCAATTAAATTTGATTAGGTAAGTTATTTTCAAAATAATATATATAAGAGATATTTAATAATAATATTTAATAGTAGAAAATATTTTATAAAATATATTTAGTATTAAGTGCATGCATAATCAAGGGTGTTAATTAAATAGATAAAATAATATAATGTAGATAAGTTGGATAATGGTATAATATTTTATGAAAAGCACTTAACATGCTTATTTTTTTTTTTGTGCTTTTTAATAAAATATTGATAGGAATTATATTGATAAGAATATATTTCTTAATTTAAAAATTAAGAAATATTACTTTAGATTTTCGTGTCGGTTTTCCTTGTAATTTCTTTTGTAGTTTGTTTTGCACAACGATCAAGGGTTTAAACGTTTTGCAAATGTCTATCAAAAGAAAAATTTATTTAAAAATTAATATTTTTTTGCGCAAAGGAGGGTGGATGGGACGTGGTTAGGGTGGGTCTCCTATCAGCAGCAACCTCCACGGGGTGAGACCTGGGCAATCATTATTATTTGATATATAATTTATAATTATATCATATATAACTAATATTATAATATAATATTATAATATATTATAATATTATAATATAAAATTATATAACAAATAATATGAGCTAATTGGCTGTGATTAGATTTAGATTAGATTTTTATGTAGTTAAAGTATTATTTGAAATTATTTAAATAATTGCAATATTTTCATTTTGATTTTTTAAAATTATTAAATATAAACATATATTTTTAGTTTGTTTATGTTTTAAGTTTTTTGACTTAGAAATTTTAATTTAGAATTTTTAAATGAAATTTATAAATAAAATAAAAAAATTATATTCTCTTGATTAATAATTTTAAAGATAAAAATTATATATTTATAAAATTAAAAGTTTTAAAAGTTATATATTTAAAAAATTAAAAAAAATATATATATAGATTTTGTGAATTTAGAATCAATTATTATATATTTCAATTAATTGTTTTATAAAAATTTATATAACCAATATAAATATGCATAATCATTTATATTTTAATGAGAATTCGAAAAATAAAATTTTAATTATAACTTTGTTTATTTACACATTAAATCTATTAAGATTTAAAATACATGATTTTTAAACAAATTTTGAAATGAAATTTAGAGACAGTAGGAAAAAGTATATATAAAAATCAGTCATATTATTGAGACATCCTAGTGTTGCCATCTATTGTAGAATTTTACAATATATATTGTACAATATATTGAATGTTGAATCTCTATTTTATAGTTAATCTATGATAAAACTATTATAAATTATGTGTTATCTTACTATTGTTTTGATATGCCCTCTATTATTTAGCGTGGAGAATTTAGGAATTAATTTTATTTCCAACTGAAGTTAGGAGAATATATTTCGATGTTTAATTGTACATGATATTTATTTATATTAAAAAAATAATAAAATGTTAATGAAAATTTATATATTTTTACGATAAAAACTAGTAGAATAATGATAATAAAAAGTTATTTTAATTATAAGATTTATAAGTCTTCATATAATATAATTTCTGTATCATATTGATTGTGCATATTTTTATTTGGTAAAACATAGGTTATATTAAAATATTAAATATGACTGAAAAGCAAAAAGTGTTAATTTGTGGAGATGTTGAGGGACATTTTAAATTTTTATTTAATAAAATCGATGCTATTAATAAAAAAAGTGGACCTTTTGATTTTTTATTATGTGTTGGAAATTTTTTTGGTAAAAACAATACAGAACTGGAAGATTATAAAATTGGTATAAAAAATATACCAGTTCCAACATATATTATTGGTGCTAATAGGCAAACTGATTTAAATAATTATCCAGAGGTAGATGGTTGTGAAATATGTCAAAATCTTACTTATCTTGGAAAACGTGGATTATATACTGCTAGTTCTGGACTTAAAATAGCATATATTGGTGGTATAGAAAATAATTCTTCAGAAATGAAATCTATTTGTTTTGATGAAAATGATGTTATGTCGATTAAGCAGGCTTGCTTAAAAGGTCAACCTAGTTTTCGTGGAATTGATATATTGATGAGCTCTCCTTGGCCAGCTGATGTTACAAATTTAGATCCTAATAAACCAAACTTTAAATATCAAGGATCAAAATTAATTGCATGGTTAGCTGCTCAAGTAAAACCAAGATATCATGTATCAGCATTAGAAGGAATTCATTATGAAAGACCTCCATATAGGTAGATAACAATTTTTAATATTTAAAATAAAACTTAAAAAAAAAAAATTAGTATTTAAAATAAAATTTTTAGCTATTTATTTATTATTTTAATTTTTAGAAATCAAAGTTTACAAGAAGGAAATATTGAAATTGCAACAAGATTTATAGCACTTGCATCTGTAATGAATAATCAAAAAAAGAAATGGTTATATGCATTGAATCTAACTCCTGTTGATAGAACTCGTTTATCTGATTTAATTATGAAAACTACAGATGAAACAGATACTCCATATCCTAAATCAATGTTATCAAATAATCCATCTTTACAAAAATTGGAACAATTAAAACAGACACAATTTTTCTATGATATGGAATCTAAAGAAACATCTAAAAGATCAAAATCTTCTGAAGGTTCTAATAAAAGATCAAAACCAGAATTTGATCAAGCAAAATGTTGGTTTTGTTTATCAAGTCCTGAAGTTTCTAAGCATTTAGTAATATCAGTTGGTACAGAAGTTTATATTGCACTTGCTAGAGGTGGATTAGTTGAAAATCATTTCTTAATTTTACCAATAACACATCACCAGAGTCTTTCTATTTTACCAAAAGAAGTAAAAGAAGAAATTGAATTATACAAAACTGCAATATCCAAATATTATGCTACTATGGATAAAGTACCAGTATTTTTTGAACGTAATTTTAAAACATCTCATTGTCAGTTACAAGTTGTACCAGTTCATAAAAATCAAGTACCAGCTCTGAAAGAAACATTTATGGTATTTATATATTTTTAATGATTGTTAGATAATGTAAACATATATTATATATATATATATATATATTAATATTATATATTTTGATAATATTATATTATTTTGATAATATTTTTGTTTTAGGAAATGGCAGAATGTAATAATTTTAAAATGTCAGAATTAGCTCCACATACTGATTTGCAACAAATTGCAAAACCAGGTGTTCTATATTTTTATGTAGAATTACCAGGTAGAGAAAAATTATATTATAGAATAAAAAAAGATTTCCCACTTCAATTTGGTCGAGAAGTGCTAGCTTCAGACAGAATATTAGATCTTGATGATCGAGCTGATTGGAAAGATTGTCAAATGGATGAAGAGGAAGAAATTGAATTAGCAAAACGAATTAGAAGAGAATTCCAACCATTTGATTTAGATTCTTAAAAATATATAAAAATTCAACAAAATAGTATTAAAATACATGTATATATATAAAATTTTTTGTAAAATATATAGATATTAATTTATTATTTTATAAAAATAATGAACATAGATATTCTTAATTGATAATTTTATTATTTTCTCTTTAGAATTTTAGTTGGATTTAATTCATTTAGATATACTTTTTTTTATTTTGGCACTGCAGCTGGATCTAATCCACTTAATTTCATTTGTAAGGCAATATCAAGTATATAATCATAACATTCAGCCCTAAAGAAAGAATATGTTTAATAGATAAAAATAAAAAAATATTCAACAATTAAGATCAAGTTAAAATTAAATTACATACATAGATTTTGCTTGTTGCCATGTATCACCCCAAACATAAATACCATGTCTTCTTACTAATACAGCACAAGTTTCTGGATAAGTAAGAATAACTCTTTCCAATTCATGCATTAAATCTTCTTCAAATGGAGTATTTTCTATTATTGGTATCATTAATTCTTCATCATAACGATATGATCTTTCTAATTGTTGATTTCTTATACCTATATTATGCATTTATATATTTTCATAAATAAATAAAGGATTATGCATTTTACTTACCTTTTATCATTTCTAAATGGGTAACACGAAATTCTTCTCCAGGCCAATGTAATGTTACCATTACAGCAAATTTTGAATGACTATGAATTATAGCTCCAGCATTTCTCCATCTATATATGCACATAAATAATGGAGTGCATTGTGACTTTTTTAAATTTTTCTTTATTGGCAATTCTATATCATTTCCACTAATATCTTGTACAAATAATTCATCCGGACAAATGCGTTCTTTTTGAACCCCAGATGGAGCAATATAAATTTTTTCTCTGTAAGTATTATAAAATATTAATCTATTATATATTTTTTAAATTTTATAAAATATAATAATATTGTAACCTATATTTAATAGATATTCCTCCACCAGTACCAGTTACCCATCCTAGATTGTAAAATTGTTTACACAATTCAGGAATTAAAATTCGTGGATGTTCCTAAAAATAAAAAAAAATATTAAAATTATGCATTAATAATTATTATTTTTATCAAAAAGTATTTTAAATAATACTTTATCATAAACATTATATTCCGAAGACATGATAATTAATAACTGGAGAACTTTGAACTAATTTTTCTGTTTCTTGCACGATTATTAATTGTTATCAATTCAGTAATCACGATTATAAGACGACATATGCACGTGCATTAATATATAATTTCCAATAATGCATAAATTTTTAATAAATAAGTATTGTTGTTAGAAGAAAATATCGATATAAGATTTATTTTTTTTTAACACAATATAAATTTTATTTATAAATATAATACAGAAATTATAGTTGATTTAGTAGTTGATTCAATATTGATACAGTCAAGTAAAAATACAGTACATATAGTAAAATATATATATGATGTGTTTATGTATATATGTTTTATATCGTGATATAAAAATTTGATGCGAAATTAATTGATTTTTTTTTTAATTTTAGTATATATTAATTTATAGATTTATGTTAAAGATATTAAGATATAATACTAAATCATGTTTATTGATTTCTTTAATTTTCTATGTTAAATTATTTACATAACCTATAAATTTATCAGTCAAATAATATGGCTACCTGGATTACAGTGACTCCGCGGTAGTATTTAAATTTTAGAATTTTTATAAAAATTTATCGCAATTAGTATTATTTTATTCTTAAATATATTTAAAAAAAATTCAAAATTCATAATATAATATAGATTCTTTTAATCATAATATAATAGATCCTTTTTAATTGTCTATCTAATTCAATATTATTTGATTTAGGCTTGAACAAGGTTTGAAAATAGCAAATCAGATAGACAACAGTAAATTTCGCTTGTTAATAAATCGTATTTGTCAAACACTTCAATCCAATGTTAATACAAAAATATTCAATGAAGAGGAAGAAGAAAAACTATTAATTTCTTTGGATTTAAATAAAAATGATTTAGTTTGTCTTTTAGATACAATAATATTAATTTATAAACAAGCTGCTTGCAATATTGTAAAACCACAATTAATGGAAAGTACTTTAAAGAATATTTTTAAAACAGATGATGATAAATGTTTAATATTTTTAAATGCATGGTTTACATATGGTAAAGGTATAATTGATCATTTTAGACAAATGTCTATATTTCCTGTTCAGGTATGTTATAAAATATAAATATAAATAATTGTAAAAGATATTAATATTCGTTTTATATTAATTTATCTTATTTCAGGTTAAAGATATTGATTGGAGTTTAAATATTCAAGCTGCATCTTCAACTATCAAAAAGGATGTGCGACCAATGGCATTACTGCAATTAAATTTAACAGGAGAAGACGAATCTAAATTAACATTGGAATTTGATAAAAAAGAACTCATAGATTTATATCATAATTTAGAGAGAATACAATCACAATTGGATGCTTTTAAATAATAGGTAATTATTAGTGTTTATAGTCATTGTAAGAAAATATTTTATTATATGAAATATATTTTCTAATATTTTATATTTGTTTTCAATATTTTTTATTTATTACATGTTATTAGATAATAATACTTTTAAATAAAGAAGAAATTAAAATTTCTTATAAATGTTTATTCGAAATACAAGGTAAAATTTTATGATTAATATTTCTTTCATATTCGAATATTTTCATACTTTGATGATCTTCTATATTTTCCAACGCGTTCGTATAAATTTGGACTTCTATTAGGAAGAATATTCTCTATATTTGTCATATTTTGATCATGTTGCTCAGAAACTTGTATATCTAATTTTGTTCGATTTTCGATATAATGTCCATTGTTTAATTGCAAAGTTTGTTTTTTTTCCGATGTTGATATAGTTTCTAAAACTCGTGATGACTTTCTGACAAATAAACGTGTCTTACAAACTACTAAAACAACTATAATAATCATCAGAAATAATGTTAATGTTGTCAGGGCACCAACTATCCATCCCAATTTTTCATCTGTAACAAATTATTAATTGAACAAAATTAATCAAAATAATCAGATTAGTTTTGATTGAAGATCAATATAATTAATTAAAAAATATAATATAATTTTTTATAACAATGTAATTTTTATAATTTTTTTCTTTTTCTTATAATGTAATTTAATGAATCTAATAATATACCTCCAGTACTATTTAACAGAACAAGTGATGCATTGCCTATTTCTTCATCTGTATGGGGAACAGTGAATTTACACATCCATTTCCCTAAATCCGAATAATTTGGTTTAAATTCTAAAGTACATACACCTGTATTATTATTCATCTGAATATTGTGCCTAAAATTTATAAAAAAAAAAAAAAAAAAAGAAGAA